ATTTAATTGTCTATGTCTAATTACTACAGAGTACAATGCTGATTGTATTATACAATGGTATAAAAATTAACTTTGATATAAAACATTTGACTTTTAATAATTTTTTGACTTAGGAACACAGTTTTGTCCCAGGTTCTACTAACCTGAGAACAAAATTGTGGCAATATCCATAGCCTCCACCCCTTGCTTCTAGGCTTACTTTGCTCTTAGTAGAGTATCAGGAGTAAGGGCTGTTTCACACATAGTTGACATGTGAAGGTTTTTTAGCCTGGGTGCAACACCTACAAAATAGTTTGGTCTCTTTCAAATTTCCTTCCCTAGCTCTGCCATCTCTGAACTGGGCCTTGTTCTAAGAGAACACAGAAGAGGCGAGCATGGCAGCTGTGCCCTTAACAGCCAGATGGAAGGTGAGTTGAATTTTCTCCAACTCTGGAAGTCTGGAGCTTCCTCACCAACCAGGGAGTGAGTGTGTTGGAAGCTAAAGCCATTCCTGTAGAAAATGGACTCTATAGAGAATACTCACCTGGACCCTTTCAGGCTCCAGATTTCTCTCTTTCCTCACCATACAACATAGCTACAAGGTCCTTCCTTCTGAATGGCCCTACTTAAAGCTTTGTCCAGGGCCCCCCATCATGGATTTGTATGCAATGGTTGGGGAACATAGGTTGAGACAGTGCTGCCCTAACATTGAGCCTGATGGCTGAGAGAGGACTTCAGGAATTTTCATCAAAGTATAAAAATTCTGAATCCTCTAGTGTGGGCAGATGTGATCTTTCCTTTCAAAAGGGCATCATATCTTTTGGTCCCTTTCCAGTTTTGATTTTTCTCCCTTAAAGTGTCTTCTGTTCCCTATACCCTCATCATAGGTCTTCCCTTGACTGGAGAACTAATTGGTCAGGCTGGATCTCATGAACCCAGTAAGGGACTTTAAAGATCATCTGAGCCAATTCTTTTATTTACAGTTTAAAAATTGAGGCTGAGTAACAAGAGGCTTAGCTGTGGGCATAAGGCTATGAGCAATAATTCCATGCCTCTTCCCTAAAACATCCAGTGTCCTCAACATCAAGACCATTTCTTTTCCGTACCACATGTTTTCCAGTGCTGTATCTTTACTTCTCAGTGAGGCACAAAAGAAGGAACACAGATGAACAAGAATGTGTTTATTTTTTAGAAGTCACTGAAGTTTAAAGATGTGGCTGTGACATTTTCAGAAGATGAATGGGATCAACTGGTCTGTACTCAAAGGGCCCTCTACAGGGAGGTGATGCTGGAGAACTATAGGGATTTTATTTCTTTGGGTAAGCATTATTTTCTTCAGTGACTCAGAATCTGCCTTTCTTTTCTTTTTATAAAGAGTATTGCTTATAGTGGAGCAGGATTGTACATCTTTGGCTAGATCTGTAGGGCAGGAAGGGCACAAGAGCAGTTTGTGGGTTTATTTGCTTTCTGTTGTTTGTGTTTAATCAAGTGTGTTAATATTGGGATTTAGTGGATATCTCAAGGAGCTGGTTTGAAAATGTATTTACTTGTGTAGTCACTATGAGTCAGAAATGAGTCAGTGGCAACGGGTTTGATTTTTGGTTTTGTTTAGCCGAGTAGTAATGAAGTCCTGCTTACATAAAAGGTAAATGTGCAGGTTCCTACAGATTTCAAAAGCCAGATCTCAAAGTACAGTCAAAAGAACAACAGGGAAGAAGAGGTAAGGTATAGAGAGAGCATGCAGATTCTTGTAGGAAAAGGAGCCACCTGACAGTTTTTTAAGGAGAGAAGAAGGCCTGAGATGATGCCAGCACCCCCTAGGCCATGTTAGATGAGTCAGAAGAACAGCAAGCAGAACAGGGTATTTGGAAGGCAGGAGGAAGACTACTGAGTCCCATCCACAGACGTCGTAAGGCCGCTTGGCAAGGAAATGAGCAAAGTGGCAAAGGATGTGTTCGTAATGTCAGAGAAATCTTATCATGCAGCCTGAGGGACACCCCAGGCCAAAGAGGAGTGGCCCTTTCTGGTCTAAGTGAATGTTGGACTGAGGCTCTATTTTAAGGGTTTTTTTTTTTTTTTTTTTAAGTGTCATGTAAAACTGGAATTGGGCAGGCTTCTGGGAATTTTCTGAGGAAAAATTATATGTTTATGTCAGCCTTGCTTAAAATTGTGGAAAAAAATGGAAACAACATAGATACCTGGTAATATGGATTTAGGTAAATACTTTGTTGTATTTTTATAATGAAATACAATATAGCAGTATAGTGTGGGCTGTGACTAGGGTATTTATAGAATTAGAAAAATATTAATGATGTACTTGTTAAATGAAAAAGGCAGGATGCACATGTTTGAAGCTTGAGTCCATTTACAAAACAATGAAACATGTATATGTATATCTATATGCATTGAAACAGTCTAGAAAGATCAGCATGAAAATACTACCAGTAATTATCTTTGACTAGTAGGCTTACAGGTCATTTTTCCTTCTCTCTTTTTTTATATTTTCTGATTGTCTACAGTGAACACGGAAAATTTTGAAATATGGTAAAAACTACAAAGAAAATGAGAAAGCACATTTTTAAATGCATGGGAGTAATTAACACCAAATTTCGTATAATGGTGGCCACATGAGGGGAAAGAAGAATGAGTGAGGGGGCTTCAATCTTAATGTGTTGGGTGGTGGATTCATAGTTTTTCACTTTAATCTTTATCTTTTTTGTGTCTTAAATATTTCATACTTATTGCCATCAAGTTGATTCCAACTCATAGTGATTCTATAAGACAGAGTTAAACTGCCCTGTAGGATTTCTTAGGCTGTAATCTTTTCAGAAGCAGACTGCCACATCTTTCTCTTGCAGAGTAACTGGTAGGTTAGAACCACTAATGTTTTGGTTAGCAGCTGAACACATTAACTGCTGCACTGTTAGGGCTCTTTAAATATTTCAAAAGGCACTAAAATACTAAATATAGAAAATTAAGGCTTTATAAATGTCACTAGTTTAAATATTTTAAAGCTGAAGACCTCATACTGTACCTTTTTAAGGATTTCTAAAAAACTGTTAATTGATGTTTTCAGATTTAAGTGTTTCATATATCATCTGTACAGAAATTGAATTATATTTCTAAAGCTATTCTAGTTTGATTTGTAGTTTTATCAAATTCAGTACAATTACACAGAAGTAAAATTAAGGGATAAAAATGTATATTAAATGTAAAAGACCACAGAAGAAAATAAGGCAGCTTCTTCATGCTATGCCAGAGTAGAGCCTTCTTCATGTTCTGCCTCTTTAAACCAAGAACTTCCCCTCAATGTACAAGAACACCTAGTTCCATTTTGGAGAGATTGCTAGGAATAAGTGAACCAGTTCAAATAGAACTCATTTAGATTTTCTAGAAAGTCAGTTCTGACTTCTGTTCATAATTCTGAAAAGTAAGCATGTATTTTCAGGATAGTTCCTTTTCCTCCCTAGAGATTAAGGAAGTGGTAGTAACCTTGAGATGGCTTGAATTTCCATCCCAAATAGCCATTTCTCATTTCATTTTTTGTAAACAGGGCTTCTAGTTCCTAACCCTGATGTGATTTTCCAGTTGGAAAGAGGTGAAGAACCATGGACACTTGATTTTCAGGAAGCGGAAGAGAAAGAAGGGCTAGAAAGTACTTCTCCAGGTAATTGTGAAATGGACAGATGGGCCTCAGTCAGACAGTTCACTTGGGATCTCATAGGTTTATGGAGATGGTTGTTGCCATGCTGGCCCTTTGCTTGGACAATTCATCCCCCAGAGTTCACGTGACTTATCTATTACTTTCTTCTGGTCTTTGCTCTAATGTGTCACCTTCTCAGTCAGGCTTTCCCTGACCTTGCTGTTGAAAACCAAAATCTCTCCATCCCTTCCCTCCCTCCTCAGTCCGCGTACTACCTATTTCTTCCCAGCTCCATCTCCCTAACATACTATATTTTTACTTCTTTATTTTGTTTACTGCCTGTCTACCCCCTAATTAAAATGTAAACTCCATTAGAGATGCTTTGTTTTATGTTATTTACTACTGTATCCCCCCAGTGCCTACAACAGTACCTCGTAATAGCACACTCTGATAGCTGTCAGATGAATGGATAAGTGGAACTTTGTACAGCAGGGTCCTTCCTGGTCCCCTCCCAAGGGGGGGTGTGTGTGTGTGAGTGATAAGAGTTGAGATATAATTCAACTCTGATAATACTTCCTCATCTTTCCTGCTTATCCTTTATCACATCTCCTTCCTCTTCCTTTTCAGCACCACTCAGTATTCACTGACAGCTCACTTTCTCAGACGCTACCCTATTTCCCGGCTTATTCTGTGCTGTTCACACACTGACACATAACAAACCGCCCTTTATTCCAGCGCTTCCATGTGTATTTCCTATTTTTCGGCTTCTGGTTCTCCCTGAAATGCTCTTGTTTTGGCTGTGTGCATGGTTAAGTGATTATCTTTCAGATCTCTCAGTTTCAATGTCATCTCCAGGAGCCCATTTCTGAAGGTTCCTTGGAAGAAGCTCCTCATTCCAATGCCCAGTCATTATTTCCTTCAGTGTACTTATTACCATCCATTTTGTTTTGTTTGTTTATTCTTTGTTTTCCCTCATAGAATTTAAGCAACAGAATGGCAGGGACCATGGCCATCTTATTCATTGTCCCAAGACTTTTACTGTTCCTGGTACTAACTGGGCACCTGGTAAATATCTGATGAATGAATAATTGAAACTTGTTTAGGGAGCTAAATGCCCGTCTTCCACTTCTAGTCTCTATTCTCTTTTCCTCTGCCAGTTTCAACCTCTCCCTATTATTTTTAAGGGGCTACCAATGAACCAGAAATATTTTGTATTTGTTCTTTTCTTAATATATATTGTGTTTTCTTTTTCAGTAGCACTAAAAGCCAGATATATCTATGTTTTCTATTTGTTTTAGGTCAGAAGACTAGACCCAAGAGCCATGACTCAACTCAAAGGCAGGATGTATCTAAAAATGCAAAGCCACAACATACTTTAATGGAAAAAATCAGAAGAAATGGTCCCCTGGGTCCTGCACTGGGACATGATAAACCTGAGGGCAGGTTGGAAATAAAGAAACAAAATCCTTCTGGGGAGATTTTGAAGAACTCCTCTCCCAAGGAGAAGGACCCAAGGCAAGGACCTACCCCTCCCAAGAAAGCCAACAGTATGGGGAGAAACTATGAATGCAGCATGTGTGGGAAGACCTTTCATGACCATTTATCCTTCAGCCACCATCGGAGGACTCACACTGGAGAGAAGGCCTATGAATGTAAAGGTGGGGAAGTCTTCAGTTACAGGAGCTGTCTTAATAAACATCTGAAGCCTCACACTGAGGAGAGACCCTATGAATGCAATGAATATGGGAAAACTGTTTATGACCAATTAACCCTTACTGACCATCAGCAAATTCATCCTGGAGAGAAACCCTTTAAGTGTAACGAGTGTGGTAAGGGCTTCTCTATTCGCTTTTCATTAGCTCGACACCGGAGAATTCATACTGGAGAAAGACCTTTTGAATGTACAGAGTGTGGGAAATCATTTAGAGAGAAAGCGGTTCTTGCTCGCCATAAGCTTACTCACATTGGAGAGAGGCCCTATAAATGTAAGGAGTGTGGGAAACCTCTGTCTAACCGATCCTCCCTCATTCGCCACTGGAGAGCACACACTGGAGAGAGTTCTTATGAATGCAGTGAATGTGGGAAAGTTTTCTTTGATCGTTCATCCCTTACGCAGCACCAGAAAATTCATAGGGAAAAGCCCTACAAGTGCACTGAATGTGAAAAAGGCTTTATTCAAAAAAGACTGCTTATTCTACATCAGAGAGTTCACACTGGAGAGAAGCCCTATAAATGCAGTCTGTGTGGAAAAGCTTTCAGTTGCAAACCATCTATCGTCCTACATCAGCGACGTCATGCCAATCAGGCTTCACAATAGCTTAACTCAACCAAATAAGCAACCCCCATAGAGACTTGCATAGTGCCTAAGGCATTTGGCTGCTAACCAGAAGGTCAGCGGCTCAAACCCACCAGCTGCTCCCATGAGGATCACTATAAGTCAGAATCAACTTGATGGCAGTGAGTTTGGTTTGGTTTTTTATTGAAGCTATAGGGAGCTCTGGTAGTGCAGTGCCTAAGGCATTTGACTGCCAACTAGGTTGGTGGTTCAAACCTACCAGCTACTCCATGGAAGGAAGATGGAGTAATCTACTTCCATAAAGATTTACCCTGCCTTGGAAATCCAGTGGTTGCAATTCAAACCAGCCAGCCACTCTGTGGAAGGAAGACTGGGCAATCTACTTCTGTAAAGATTTGACACCTCAGAAACCCAGTGGGGGTCGCTGTGAGTCACAATAGATTCATGGTGGTGAGTTTTTTTCTATTTTTTTCTTTCTTTTAGTGCATATGAGGCAATTTCCCATGCATATGAGGTGATTGAAAATACCATGGTTTGGGTCAGATACACCTTAGTCATCAAAGTGACCTTGGTGCTTTTTAACACTTTAAAGAGATCTTTTGCAGCAACTTTTGCCAAGGCAATAGGTTGTTTGATTTTTCTTTTCTTTTGACCTTTCAACCAAGCTTGTCTTTTATTCCACACTGAAATGAAACTTTTTTTTTTCTTGCCAATTCAACTTTCTACATATAGAAGTGTACAATATATCAACAATTACAATAGTTGGTTGTGCAGCCCTACCCTTAGTCAATGTGATTTTTCCATCACTGTTAACCTCTTTATTCCCTTTCCTCCCACCCCTAGTAACCACTAATAAACTTTGGTCTTTATACATTTGCCTTTTCTTCTCTTTTTATATGACTGAGGCCGTGAAGTATTTGTGATTGTCTTACTTAGGTCAGCATAATGTCTTCAAGCTCCATCCTTACTGTAGTATGGATCAAGATTTCATTTCTCTCACTGGCTCAGTAGTAGTCTGTTGTATACATATCATTGTATACATACCGTTGTATGTACCACATTTTGTTTATCCATTCTGTTGATGGGCATTTAGGTTGTTTCCACCTTTTGCTTTTGTGAATAGTACTGCAATGAACATTGGTGTGTGTACAAATCTCTTTTTGAGTCTCTGCTTTCAGATCTTTGGGGTATATACCTAGGAGTGGAATTGCTGGGTCATATGGTAGTTCTAGTTTTAGTTTTTTGAGGAATTGCCACACATTCCTGCCATGGCTGTACCATTTTGCATTCCCACCAGCAATGGATAAGGGTTTTGTTATTCCCACATCCTTGTCAACATTTGAATAATGTCAACATTATTTTCTGTTTTTTATATCTTAGCCATCCTAGGGAGGGTGAAAAAGTTTCTCATTGAGGTTTTGATTTGCATCTTTCATGGCTAATAATGCTGAGGCTCTTTTCATGTGTTTCATGGCCATTTGAATATCGTCTTTGGTGAAATGTCTGTTCAAGTCCTTTGCCAATTTTATGATTGGTTATTTATCTTTCTGTTGTTAAGTTGTTGAAGTCTTATATATATTTTGGTTATTAGATTTTTTTTTTTTAGTATATTTTTTACTGTGATTTGGGTGGAATGGTTGTTAGATTCTAGCTGGATATATGGTTTCTGGAATCAGTAGCTTGAGTTTTCACTTTTTTGGTAGTCTTCTGATGGAGAAAATTTTTCATTTTTATCAGGTCCCATATATTTATTTTATCTTTTGCTTCCTGTGCTTTCATGATTATATTAGATAATCCACTGTTGGAAGCTAGTCCTGGTAGCATTGCCCCTGCTTGTTCTTTTAAGAATTCATGGCTTTCGTTTAGTTTAAGGACATTTAGATCCTCAATCCATTTTTAATTTGTTTGTGTATATGTATAGGGCATGGTTCCTGTTTCATTTTTTCTGCACATGGAACTCCAGTTTTCCCAGCAGCATTTATTGAAGAGACTTTTCTTTCCCCATCAAATGGACTTAACACCCTTGTCAAAAATCAGTAGACTGTAGATGTATAGGTTTATTTCTGAAGTCTCAATTCTATTCCACTGGTCTATTTGTGTATTGCTATACCAATACCAATCTGTTTTGATTAATGTAGCTGTATGTTGTTGTTGTTGTTGTTGTTGTTTTGCCATCGAGTCGGAATGTAGCTGTATAGTATGTTTAAAAATTGCCATTTGATTTTTTGACTGCTGCTTTCATGGGCATTGATTGTGGATCCAAGTAGAATTAAATCCTTGACAATTTCTATTTCTTTGCCATTTATCATGATGTTGTTTACAGTCCAGTTGAAAGGAGTTTTATTTTCTTTATGTTCAGGTGTAATCCATACTGAAGGGTGTTCATCAGTAAATGTTTCAGATCATCTTCACTTGAGGCAAATAAGATTGTGTCATCTGCATGTCAGGTTGTTAAACAGTCTCCCTCTAATCCTGATGCAGTGTTCTTCATATAGCCCAGCTTCTCTATTATTTGTTCAGCATAGATTGAATAAATGAAGTGAAAGAATACTACCTTGCCATACACCTTTTCCATGAAGTATACGCTTATTCTGTTCAAATGACTGCCCCTTGATCCATGTACAGGTTCTGCATGAGCAGATAAGTGTTCTGGAATTCCCATTCTTTGCAATGTTATCCATATGATCCACACCATCTAATGCCTTTGTGTAGTTGATAGCATACAGGTAATGTCTTTCTGGTATTCTTTGCTTTCAGCCAAGATCCTTATGACATCAGCAATGATAGATCTGGATCTAGCTTGAACTTCTGGCAATTCCCAGTCAATGTATGGTTGCAGCCATTTTTGCATTTTATCTTCCAGTCAGTTAGGCAGGTGGCTGTCTTCCAAGTTTCTTGACTTAGATAAGTAAGTGCTTCCAACATTGTATCTGTTTGTTGAAGCATCTTAACTGGTATTCTGTTAATTCCTGGAGACTTGTTTTTCACCAATGTTTTCAGTGCAGCTTGAATGTCTTCCTTCAATACCAGCAGTTCTTGATTATATGCTACCTCTTGAAATGGTTGAACATCAACCAATTCTTTTTGGTTTAGTGACTCTGTACAGTATTCCTTCCATCTTCTTTTGATGCCATTCAATTTTATGCTCTTAGAATCTTTCACTACTGCAACTTGAGGCTTGATTTTTCTCTTCAGTTCTTTCAGCTTAAGAAATATTGATTGTGTTCTTTGATTTTGGTTTTCTAACTCCAGGTCTTTGTACATTTCATTATACTATTTTACCGTGTCTTTTGAACCACCCTTTGAAATCTTATGTTTAGCTCTTTTATGTCACCACTCCTTCTGTCCCTTTTACTATGCATCATGATCAATTTTCAGAGTCTCTTCCAACAACCATTTTGTCTTTTTGCACCTATCTTTTTATCTGACATTTCACATTTACAACAATTTTGAAAAAATTCTCAGGTAGCGTCTTCAGTAGTCCAGGCCCCACATGGGGCCACGACTGGCCTGGGGCACCCTCCACAGGACACCTCAAAGGATGATATACCAGAGGCCCCAGCAATGACTGGACCACACAAAGGACTCTGGCCAACGTGCTGCAAGATGCCTTCTCCCATTGATTTCTGACATCTTGATCTGTTCATGGGGGGTGTGGAATGACAGTGGGATGATGTGACATCACAAGTGGACATGGGGAGGCTTGAAAAGGGCCAAAACATGATGGGAAGGTTGGTGAGGGGGAGGCAGGATGGGAGCTACTTGGGACTGTGGGGCTGAGGTGGACGGAGGATGAGCAGCATCCCTGAACAGGTTGGGTGGTGAGAAGTAGGCAACACCTGATGACCACCACCACTGCCAGCCCCCACAGACTCCATGGTGGTGGGGACAAGGGGCCTGCCATGCTATGGACATCTTGAGATGCACTAGGGGCACTGATGGGCAGAGAGAGATAGGGTGGGGGGAAGGGTGGACACCAGGGTCAAAGATGAGGTGTATCCCCTGAATCTCACATAACACCAATTTCACATAAAGACTTAGTCTTTGGAAGCTAACCATGTTGATAAATGAGGAGTGAATATTTATTTGTCTTTTTTTCCTGTTCTAATAGCTGAGCATAATTGTTACAAATCCTTCATGAGGTAATGCAATCCCAGAGTCCTTTTTTTTTTAACATGTCTGCTTTCTTCAGACCAACTTTTCTGCAACTTTTACTAAAGACATTTATTTATCCACATCCAAACTATTTTTTTTAAAAGTATGCAGAGGATGAATTATATATCTCCATAATCACATTTAACAGAGCTCTGGTGGCATAGTAGATGAGGCATTTGGTTGCTAACCAGAAGGGCAGCAGTTCAAACCCACCAGCAGCTCTGCAGAAGGAAGATGGGGCAATATACTTCCATAAATATTTACAGCCTTGGAAACCCTATGGAGGTCTCTATGAGTCAGAATTGACTTGATGGCAGTGAGTTTGGTTTTTTGGTAAATATATTCATACCATTTGAAGTTGGTTTATCTTTTGCCAAGAGTCAGTTCAACAAGTAGCTCTTGACTGTTAAACATAATTATGGAGATGCCTAATAAATCTCCAGGTTTACTACTTGTCCCTTTCTTTTGTTCCAGCATGTATGAAAGGTAGGAAAATGGTATATCTTGATGCAAGAGCATAGCATATTAGCTAAAAGGTGTTTCTCATCAAAAGGTCTCTTGGTTTCTCTCACAGTATGGATGCCCACTCTCCCATTGGTTCTTTCACATCAACTCCTCAACTCCTACCCAGATAGAAAGTGGGACTTTTCTAGAACTCCTTTGAAAAGCCTCACCACCATATCTAACTCCTTTGAAAAATTTCATCAATAAATCTATTTGACAGATCAAATAGTGAGATTATGAGATTAAAAGAATTTAAGAAGGATAAAGTGGAGTAAGTGTTCCCTCAATTGAATAAGGGATTTTAATGAGTTCCAAAGACCATAATACTATATTTTAGCTAC